CGGTTGATTTAGCCTATACCCGGGTCGAAGTGGCACGACCTCATAGGGTCCATGAGACTCAGCAATATTAGTGGCAGAGGGTCCTTTAGGACTACCTCAACCCTTTGGGATGATTGGGGATCATTGGTTAGGTGTGGCTAAGAAGAAAAGTTCGTCGAGAAGTTGATCTCCTCTTCGGGGTTTTCCTCATCCTCGGAGAGGTCACCTCCTTGGACAAAGTAGTTAGAGGGAATATTTCTCATATGCCTTGAACATGGGCTCCATCCTACATCATGAGGTGTCTATAAATGTAATAACCCTCATCACTGATTACCGTTAAACATTGATTACCGTTAAACTGAACTGATTATGACTGATAATTGAACTGATTAAAGTACTGAACTGATTGACTGAAAACTGGAACTGGAACTGAATTGACTGAGTATGTACGTTTGAATTGCATTCTATCCGCGATCTGTTCGTATTTTAGTATTTAAACTGCTAATTGAAGGCCTTATCGGTGGCCGAATCTGGAATTGATTGATGTTTTATGATCCTCATAATTAATGTGATTTTGTAGTATACTTATCTGAAAACTGATTAGGTATGATTAAATTAGATTAAATATTGATCTATTGCTTAAGTTGGCCTTAATTACCAAACTAACCCTAGTGGACCACTTAATACAATATATTTGAGCCTCAATATACACTTAGGCAACATTTTGTTCAGCCATTTTCTTGCTCTAGCCGACCAAGAGAGTGAAAGAGTGAGAGAACTTGAATTCCATCTTGAGTTTTGCTTGCTAATTGAAGAACTTGAAGCTTAAGTGCATAATTGAACCTCTGGACTTGCATTCAAGGAACCTAGGTATGAATTTCATCTCTTAATTACCAAACTAACCCTAGTGGACCACTTAATACAATATATTTGAGCCTCAATATACACTTAGGCAACATTTTGTTCAGCCATTTTCTTGCTCTAGCCGACCAAGAGAGGGAGAGAGTGAGAGAACTTGAATTCCATCTTGAGTTTTGCTTGCTAATTGAAGAACTTGAAGCTTAAGTGCATAACTGAACCTCTGGACTTGCATTCAAGGAACCTAGGTATGAATTTCATCTTTTTGATTTTGTCTTTAAGTTGATTCATGCATGGTTCATGTTAAATTGTAGAGCTAAGCCATGTTTTAGTTCATACATGTTGATATAGAGCATAATTCATGCTTGCATGTTTGAATTGTTGAGTTGTGAGTTGATTTCATGGTAAAATGGTACATGCATGTCCATACTTTTGTAATGGTCCATGTTTTCAACTTGTTTTTGGATCAATTGGCTCCTTAGAGCATCAAATTGGAGCTTCAAAATGATTTGAATTCATGCATGTTTGCATGTTCTCCATGTTCATGAAATTGGTTTGAAATTGAGTTTGAATTAAACACCCTTGGGCTTTGATTTCTCAAATTGAGCTTTGAACCATGTTATTCTATGTGTTTATAAAGGTTTTCCAGAAAAATGGGCCCAAGAGGATTGGTTTTGATGCATTTGAACCTGGTTTTGGCTCGGAGGTGCAATCTGGAATTCCCAGATTTTGCACTTTCGCTCGAGCGGGGAAAGTGGCGCTCGAGCGTGGAATCCGAGCATCCAGTATTTCTCTGCACTGTTTTACAGTCCGCTCGAGCAGAGGATTGGGAGCTCGAGCGGAGGCATGTGTCTCATGATCGAGCGGGCGCCGAGCACCCGTCGAGCGGAGATTTCACCCATCCGGTACTTTTATAGTACGCTCGAGCGGGAAAGTTGACGCTCGAGCGTGTACCTTGTTGCATGTCCGCTCGAGCGGATAAACCTGCGCTCGAGCGGGACTCTGTTTTTCTGATAAATTCTGAAATTGTTTTCTGATCACATCTTTGCATCCTCATCCCATTCTAGGCATTCTTAGACCTAGTTTAAGATATCTTGTTGATGATACAGATGTAGAACACACCGAGGCAAATTAAGGGTTAAGTTATTATCTTTACCAACTGTGTAGCTTAGTGTCTGTTAAATCTGTTAACTGTGTAAGGTTGGCGACTGGGGAGACACGCTCTAGCATACTGTAGCCCGAACTCTGTGAGTAATGATTGTGTAAAGATATGTTCACAAATGATTGTTTTCTGAACAACTGAACTGTACTTCTTTCTGAACTGATTACTGTTAACTGAATGAATGTATGTCCTATATTCTGAACTGTATTGTGGCATCCTTAGCACCTACTGTGTCACGACCCCAAACCGCCCCTAGTAGTTTGGTGCCGTGATGGCCAGTAATCTGTAATTACCGAAGGCCAACTTTTCAAAACTTAACACAATCAGAGTATGAATATAGGGGGCTCACAAATGCGGAAGTAATAAATCAAATACAAGAGGTCCATGAGAGCTGTGCATAGATCAAAGCAATGCCAAACATTTCCAATTAACTTACAACTTGAATACAACAAGGTAAAATACATGTTACATCTTGATCAAAAGGCTTCTCGAGCCGACATATACAAAATACAACTAATACAAGTCAAGAAGCATGATTTTCAAGATTTGCCGACATGTAAAACAGGGCACCGCCGACGTAAATACAAAAGTAAGGCCGACATATACACGAATCCAAAACAAGCATCCAAAACGAACTAGGCGTCGCCGCCGTCCTGCTCATCACCTACAAATATATAGAGGGGTGAGTACAAAACTCAGTGAATGGTACTAAAAATAAAGGTTTTGCATGAATAAAGCCGAGGTCCTTCAAAACGAAACACACCAAAACTTTAGCAAGGCAAGTGATGAACCGTATTCATCGTCAAATATCGTAACATCGGCGAGACAAGGGATGAACCGTATTCATCATCAAATATCTATTGCGAAAGTTTAGAGTCCTCCAATACAAGGGTTATATTGGGGATGGACTGGTTAACGAAATATCATGCCACCATAGACTGTGTAACGAAACAAGTAGTTTTCCATCCACCTGGTCTACCTAAATTTGTGTTTAATGGGGTTGGAGTAGTACCTCCCCCTTTTAGAGTTCCCCCTTCTGTACTGTCTTACTGTTCTGTATAGACTGAATGTTTACTGTACTGTTATGCAGGGATTGAGTCCCTAGTCTGAATGATTGTAAATATTGTGCATACTGTTCTGTACTGTTTACGTATAAAGGTATGTAAAGTCTTTTTGCATACAGACTGTCACAGCTCATTGGGCATTGTTTAATTACTGTATTGGCTTTCGCCAGGCCCTGCACTCTGTTTTACTGTACTACTGTTCTGCAGGCCTTCGGTAATCTCGGATTACTGGCCGGTTACGGTGCTAAACCCATAGGGCCGGGTTTGGGTCGTGACAATAAATAGCACCCACTCATAGCTTTACCATGGATGGATTTTGGAGAGACAATTATTGGGAGAGAACTAATTTCCCTTCTCCATTATCTACGTTGAGAGTGAAAGTGGGAAATCTATAGGAGAGCCTTGCCATTATCCTCTTTCTAACTACTTTGCCTTCTTCTTCACCCAATCTCTTATCTCCATCATTTCTTTGCTATTGTGCTTCTAGTTGTGACCGTTAAAGAATCTAAGCCTCACATCTTTTCTAGAGAATTCTAATTTTTAGACAACATTCTTGAACCCTCTCATACAATGATGATGATGATGGTGGTGTGTGAGATACAACAGGGGTCATTGTTCACACAATGTACAAGGAATTATCTACAAATAATGTTGGCAATCGCAACTGCTATACTATATGATACGGAAGAAAGTAGATAATATTGTTTTGTTTATTTTCTGGTTTAAAAGAAGTCCTAATTTTGATTGCAAAAGATAACATAGAATATTGTATTTTTGTCAAAGTCAACCCTTAACCAGTAATGTAGTTTTGCATGGGCTATGAAATGTCATTTTGGATCTCTAACTTAACATCAAGAAGAACTGCATAATCAATTTTTAATATGATTATGCATGTAGCTTGTCAGTGCTAGAATGCAATTCTAGTTAAATTTGTTAATTCCTTAGAGAAAAGCAATTTGAGTTTTTGTTTTTTTTAAAGTCTAAGTGGAGTCAAAGTACAGGATAGAGCTGCAAAGAATACAAATTAATGAAGCAAGTGTGCAAATAAGCTCAAATCTCACACTAGATCATGGTTAAGAATACAATGATGTGGGGCCACATCATTGTTAATGGGAATTGCCGAAGTAAAGCATAAAATTTGGATGTGCTCTTGACTTGAATTAGGTGCAATCAATGTTAGAATGACATTTTGGTTTTGGGTAAGCTTCCGCATCATAGTCTAAGTAATTGAGTTGGAGACTTGACTTTGAAATCGAGTCCGTGCACAAGAGTCAGGTACATTATGGAAATTATTGAAGTTCAGATAATTTTCATGGTTAATTTTTTAGCGGTCTAGATTTTCTTTTTTTTTTTATTGAGCTGGAGACTTGACTTTGAAATGGAGTCAATGCACTAAAAGTCTTGAGTTATATTACTAAAGCCATTCAAGTTTAGATAATTTACATGGTTAATTTTTTAGGATTTAGGATTTTTTATTTTATTTTAGGATCATTTGTGATACAGTTCCTCATTTTTTTTTATATGCTTATTATTCTCTTTCATAAATGTCTTGTTATATATTTGTCTTTGTCAATTCATTAGAAAAATGTTCATGGGGGAGAGATATATATATTACCAAGGGGGAGAGAGAAAAAGAAACCTTGTGAAATTGATTTTATTGTTTTATGTCACACTTACTTTTCACTTGGTGCTTGTTTCGTGTTGTTTTTTATAGGCAGGATGACAAATCTCAATGGTCCATAGAATTTCATTGTTTATTGTAATTTTGGGTTTTTGGAAATAAGCTTGAGTCATACATTATGGAGAAGTGTTTTGTCATGGAATTGTCGAAGTGAGAGATTGTTACTGCTAGAATGCAATTCTAGTTAAATTTATGAATCCCTTACAAAATCTGTGTAAGTTATGGTTGTCTATTTGAGTTGCAATTATTGTTAAATATTTAAGTCAAGTCAAGTCAAGGTACAAAATAGTAATTATTGCTAAAATTCCTAGTTGAAGATAGTCAATGACTATTGGTTTACTGTCTGCTTTTAACAATTGTTTCTTCAAGTGGTAGACTTCATGAAGTTGCAATCTTCGACTGCTCAATTGACTTGTTTTGAGAAATTACTTGGCAGAATGCAAAATGGTACTGGACACCCATTATAAGTAGTCGTTAAGTGTGTTGTTCTGCTTGTATAACCATAGTGTCTTATTTCCAAAGTACCCCCCAAAAAAAAGAAAGTATAACCACAGTGTCCATTTTTATCCCTCCCAAATGAAGCCTCCTGTGATGGATCTAAGCCTATTCTTGCTTGTTACCTTTCATGCCATCCTTGTCCCATTTCTCAGCTTGTCACTTTCAGGGCATGCTTCGGCAGCCATAATTGGAAATGTGACAGACAAACTCGCATTGCTCGAGTTTAAGTCCTGGCTAACTGAAGATCCTGCTGGAGTCCTGGACTCTTGGAATGATTCTCTAGACTTATGCAGGTGGACTGGGGTCAAATGTGGCCTAAAACACCGAAGGATCACGGTTTTGGATCTTGAAGGGAAAGGCCGTTGGTTGGAACCATATCACCCCATATAGGAAATCTCTCTTTCCTCAAAATCCTTAACCTTGCGAACAATTCCTTCTTTGGTGGTATTCCCTCGGAATTAGGCGACTTGATCAGGCTTCAAACTTTGAACCTGAGCAGCAATTTTCTAGGAGGGGATATTCCTGTTAATTTGTCTCGGTGTTCCAATCTCATAAATCTTGCATTAAACCACAATCTTCTTGAAAGAGAGATTCCCCCTCAACTAGAGTCATTGTCTAAACTTGCAAATCTAAATTTGGGAGACAACAATCTTATTGGAAGGTTTCCAGCTTCTCTTGGAAATCTTTCGTCACTTCAACAGCTCTTTTTATCATCTAACAATCTGGAGGGAGAGATTCCTGATGCAGTAGCCCAAATGAGAAGTTTGATGATATTCAGGGTGGGAATGAACAAATTTTCTGGTGTGTTTCCCTCTTCACTTTACAATTTGTCGTCGCTCAGTCACATATCTTTGGCTCTTAACAACTTCTCTGGTGGTCTCAGGACCGATATAGGCCTTGCTCTTCCAAATCTCCAGAATCTTTATTTGGGAATGAATAGGTTTAGTGGACACATACCGAGTTCTCTGGCAAACAATTCCGATCTTATGCGATTGGATTTCCCTTTCAATAATTTCACCGGTAACATACCTATGAGTTTTGGAATCCTGCAGAATCTTTGGTGGCTCAATCTTCCTAATAACATTCTTGGAAGCAGTGCGGTTGATGATTTGAGTTTCCTTACTTCTCTGGCAAATTGTAGCAAGCTACAAATTCTGGATTTCAGCCGCAACCAGTTTGGAGGTCAGTTATCTGCCTCAGTTGCAAATCTGTCAACCCAATTGACATGGCTAAATATCCAAAGGAACCATATTCGCGGAAGCATTCCTCCGGAGATTGCGAACCTGATCAACTTGGACGCAGTGGGCATGGGGCAAAACCTCTTGACAGGTAATATTCCAACTTCATTTGGAAAGCTCTCGAAATTGCAAGAACTGCACATAGATAGAAACTTACTTACAGGGGAGATCCCCACTTCCTTCGGCAATGTCACACAACTGTTATACCTCTATATGCAAAACAACAGCTTGGAAGGAAGCATACCTTCAAGTTTTGGAAACTGTAAATACCTACAGTACCTAGACCTTTCCCATAATAAATTCAGTGGTACCATACCCATCCAACTTATAGGCATTTCTGCCTTCTCTAGAGGCCTTAACTTGTCTCACAACTCCTTGACTGGATCCTTGCCAGTGGAAGTTGAAAATATGAGAATTCTTACTGTGCTTGATGTTTCTTACAACAAGTTGTCTGGTGAGATTCCGAGTGAGTTAGGGTCCTGTTTGGCTCTGGAACAACTCTACATGCAGAGCAACTTCTTTCGAGGAACCATTCCTCACCTGAGTAATTTGAGAAGCCTTCGCTATTTAGATATTTCAAACAACAGCTTGGATGGCCAGATTCCGTCATACCTGGTCAATATTTCCTCTTTACTAAATCTGAATCTTTCATATAACAATCTTGAGGGGGAGGTACCTGTAGGAGGAGTGTTCAAAAATGCTAGTGCAGTAGAAGTCTATGGCAACAAGAATCTTTGTGGGGGGACCCCAGAGATGCATTTGGACCCGTGCCCTGTACATCCTGAGAAATTAAAGAAACATATTGCTACTAAGTTGATACTAGGGATTACCATTCCTATTTCTTGCTTAGCTCTGATCCTACTTTTATTTTCACTTTACTGGATAAGGAACTCGCGGAAGACAACTCAGTCCACATTTTCCTTAGGGCCATTCTATCCAAAAATTTCTTATGCAGAGCTCTGCAATGCCACCTGTGGATTCTCTTCTGATAATGTGATAGGTTCAGGTAATTTTGGCACTGTGTACAAAGGAACTCTTGGCCTAGGTGATGAAACAGTGGTTGCAGTTAAGGTACTCAACCTTCAACAACGAGGAGCTTCCAAAAGCTTTATGGCTGAATGCCAAGCCTTGAGAAACGTCAGGCATCGAAACCTCGTTAAGGTTCTAACTGCTTGCTCAAGTATAGACTTTGTAGGGAATGATTTCAAAGCTTTAGTATACCAGTTCATGCCAAATGGGAGCTTGGAAAAGTGGCTGCATCCAGAAGACGGACAAAGTCAAACAAGAAACTTGAATTTTCTCCAAAGAGTAAACATCGCAATTGATGTGGCTTCTGCATTGCATTATCTTCATCATCAGTGCCAAAATGCGGTGATCCATTGTGATCTAAAGCCAAGCAATGTTCTTCTTGACAATGACCGGACTGCTCATGTCAGTGATTTTGGTTTGGCAAGGCTCCTTTCAAAGTTCAACAAGGAGGCCAATTTGAATCAGTTTAGCTCACTTGGGATTAAAGGAACCATTGGATATGCTGCTCCAGGTAACTTCTAGATTACTGTGTTCCCCAAAGTTTCAATTTTTACTATTTTTATGGTTGAGGTACCATTTCTTGATAATAAGCAAAATGACATCCATCCTCCATGAATCAGAAAAAGGAACCTAGCAAATTGTTTATTGGGAATTTAAGTTCTATACATTATTACACTGCAAATTAGCATAATGGCCTTTAAATATGAACCTTTTCTTGTATATATGAAAATCTGGTATTAGAGTAAGAGCAATAACGGAAGTTCTTGGGATTGTGCAGAATACGGAATGGGTGGTAAGGTCTCACCTGAAGGAGATTTGTACAGCTATGGAATTCTCTTGTTGGAAATGTTCACTGGTAGAAGACCCACCGATGAACCATTCAAAGATAATTTTAATCTTCACAATTTTGTCAAACACTCATTGCCAGATCAGGTAATGGGGATTGTGGACCAATCTGCTCTGCATAAAGAATCTGTGGGAAAAGCTATAAACAATTCTTCATGTTGGAATGACATCAGAAGTGAACAGCTTGAGTGCTTGATTTCTGTTTTTCAAATTGGAGTTGCATGTTCAGCAGAAGTTCCACAAAACAGAATGGACACACAGCAAATTTTGAGGGAACTGCTTTCTGTCAGGGTCAAATATCTTGGAATTTGAATGGTTGGGAATGCAAATCGACAGCATCGATAACATTATAAATTGTTTGGTATCCAGTTTTTGACCTTTTGTGCTTGCTACTTATGATCTGCATCTGTTTCCATACTGTATCGTGTATATACCGCTTATTTGATCTTACGTACCTTGTTTCAAAATCCTCTTATTTTCCCTTGAAATGCTTGTATTTTCTGGTTTCCTAGTTTCAAAATCCTCTTATTTTCCCTTGAAATGCTTGTATTTTCTGGTTTCCTATAATCTGATTTAAGGTTTTCTGTTTGGTGAGCCGTGAGTGCCTGAACCTTATTTTTCAATGTGAAATTTCGTCTTTTTAAAGTCTTAATTCAGTTTCAATGTCTCTGTTTTGCTTACAGATAAATGGTGTACTGCTTGAATTGATGTCTACTATAAGTATGAAAACTGTGTTTAAGCGCTTGTAGTATGTAAGTTTTTGTAGGCATGGCATGGAAAGAGGTTAGAAAGATTGATTTCTGCCTATTTTGGGAACTCGGCTAAAAGCCAGTTTTTTGGTTTTTTTATTTTTTTGGATTACATTAGCTCTCTATTTTTTTTTTATATTTTTTTAAAAAAAGTAAAAAAAAAAGGTCAAAAGCCAACTTTTAACCTTTTTCTAAACTACTATTTGTGTAAATTATTCATAAAAAATATATATTGATAATTGAAATTATTTGAAGTTTATTGTCTTCGTCTAGTGAAATTATATTATTATGATTATTAAATTAATTTAATTTTTACATATGAATAAAATCAACATTTACTACACAGTTATGTAATGTAATAACCATGCAAAATTGATGGTCACCTTTAATTCACAAGTTATAAAATAATGATAATAAAATATTATGAATAAAATTATTTTTAAAATTTATATTCCCAATTTTGATCACATAGAATTGATTCAAAGATACACGTCTTCTTCTTCTTTAAAAGTCAACACTTTGCTTGGAAGCCCATCGTTACTTGTGATGGGCCAGAAAACGACCCCAACTTTAGGAACAAAATTACAATTGAGTGGTGTTTTCACAAAATAATTATAAATTTATTTTTTTTAAAAAAATTAATTATTAATATTTATAAAAATTATTATTAATTTAAAATTATTTCTAAAAACTTATCCACAATTGAAATTATCCCCTTAAAGATCTGGATTTTCAATATAAAATCTTTTGATTGAAATTTATTTATTTATTAACTAGTAGAGAAGAGAGAGATTCCTTCTCTTCTCTCCTTCCCACCTTCCATTAAAGTCTCGGTTATAACAAATCACAAAAGTTGCATATTTCTGCTAGTCAAAATTTAAGTGCACCCATTGTCTGTAGGAGATCAACCCAAAATTGAGTTGGCAGCCACATGGAAGGGTGGCCAACCCACATGGTAAAAGAAAGGCAAAAGAGGTTGGCATGAGTTGGCAAGCCATGAGGCTTGAGTTGGCAGCCATGAGGCTTGCCATGCGCCAGCAACAAAGGAAATTTATATTCCCAATTTTGATCACATAGAATTGATTCAAAGATACACATCTCTTCTTCTTCTTCAAAAGTCAACACTCTGCTTGGAAGCCCATCGTTACTTGTGATGGGCCAGAAAACGACCCCAACTTTAGGAACAAAATTACAATTGAGTGGTGTTTTCACAAAATAATTATAAATTTATTTTTTTTAAAAAAATTAATTATTAATATTTATAAAAATTATTATTAATTTAAAATTATTTCTAAAAACTTATCCACAATTGAAATTATCCCCTTAAAGATCTGAATTTTCAATATGAAATCTTTTGATTGAAATTTATTTATTTATTAACTAGTAGAGAAGAGAGAGATTCCTTCTCTTCTCTCCCACCATCCATTAAAGTCTCAGTTATAACAAATCACAAAAGTCGCATATTTCTGCTAGTCAAAATTTAAGTGCACCCATTGTCCCCATTTTCTCATTCCTACTGATATGATCAATTCTCAATTGAAAATCACTAATAAATGTCAGGAAGGAGGACTACTTACTAGTCAGAAATGAAAAATGAGTGAGAGCACTAATTAGTGTTACCATTAATGATGTGGCAGTGGGTCCTATCATGAATGATTTGATATTTTGGCCTTGGTGTTGTATTTTTTTTCTTTTTTTATTGAGTGTCATGTCATTAGTGATCTTTTTAGAGCTCCAAAATTAGTGGTCTCTATCATTGTTGGTCAGAAATAATCCTTGTACTGAAAATTAATGCTTATAGAATGGCTGAATGTGCAGGTAATATTTTTGTACACGCGTTTGTAACACTTAATTATATGTGAATTCACATAATTAAAATATTTCAATGATGTGATAAGATAGGTAAGTCTTACACAATTAAATAGATGACAAATCAAAAATTAACATATATCAAGCCACATCATTATGGATCATATTGTGATAATTTTGTTTTTGTAGGTTTTAAACATTTTCCGAAAAATAAAGTACACCTAATTGTCCACAGTGTTATTAAATACATATATTCTAGAAAATGAGGAACAGAGAAAAAGGGTACAAGAGTAACTCCCACTCAATTCTTTCAATTTTTTTTTTTGGGTGAACAAGTGTCCTAGTTAATTTACAAGCACTTGGACTAATTTTAAGACTCACACAAAGGGATTTGGGGATGCTGCTATGGTCCCATTTGGTAGAGCTGTAGGAAAGTAATTATAGATTATAACTTAACAGATTATAACTTACAGCTGTGAACATAAGCTGGTGACCTGTTTGGTGCAGCTGTGAGATTATGAATTTAAGCAGCAGAGTAGTGTTTGGTAAATAAGTTTTAAAATAGCTTTTTTCTGTATAATTGTCATTTTTGCCCTTATAAGATATAAAATTTGTGATTTCATTTATAATACATTTTTTTTTTCTTTTTCTTTTTCATTTTTATTTTATTTTATTTTCTTTTTCACCTTATTTTCTATTTTAATTTATTAATTCATTAAAATTAATATTCATGTTCTAATTTATATTAATGTTGTGATTTCATTATATATTATCTTTCATATATTCATTATCAAAATTATTAATTTTTTTCTTCTCTTCTTTCTCCGTATTTCTTTTCTTTATTATTGTTATTAATTGTGATTTTAGTATAAAAATTATCAATTGCTCATCAATTATTAAAATTAGTATCAATTATTAATTATTATTATTATTAATTTGTTCACCGATTATTAAAATTAGTATCAATTTATCCATCAATTATTATTTTATTATTTTTCATATTATTATTATTATTATTATTCATTTTAATTTATTTTTAGTAATATTTCATTTTTAGTAAATATAATTCTGAAAAGTAATTTTTTTAATTATGAAAGTTTTAAATTAATTGAAATAAATTGTGTTAAATATTAAAATTGGTATCAATTTGTCCATCAATTATTATTATTATTATTTTTCATTTTAATTATTTTTAGTAATATTTCATTTTTAGTAAATATTAATTCTGAAAACTAATTTTTAATTATGAAAAGTAAATATTAATTGAAATAAATTGTGTTAAATATTAATTTTGAAAAGTAATTTTTTAAATTTTTTTCATATTAAATATTAATTTTGTTTTTATTAATTCTGGAAAAAAATTCTTTCTTTTTAATTAATATTAATATTGATTTTTTTCCTTTTTTTTCAATTTTTTTTCAATTTATTTTCTAGGGTTTGAAAACCCTAGCTCCGGTAGCACAGGGGCGACGACCGACGCTAGGGTTTAAGATTGCGATGGTTCAGATCGACGACGGCGTTGGATGTAGCGCGATGGCGATGGCGACGAACCCGAGATGGCGACGAGCTTCGCGATCGCGATGGCGACGACATTGGTTCAGAGAGAGAGAGACAGAGCTTCATGATGGCGATGGCGATGGTGACGGCGATGAACCCGAGATCGACCAGCGCCATGGATGTAGCTCAGAGAGAGAGAGAGAGAGAGAAGAGAGAGATCTGTTTCATCGCCAGAGCGAGGGACACGTCCCCGGAAATCGCCAGACATCGCCGGAAATCGCCAGAGCTTTATCAAAGAGACAAAAATGAGAGATTTTTTGATTTATATACATGGTACACTTGTAATTATTTTAAATTGCGAAGGGCATGTAAGTCATTTTGCCCCTCCAAACACAGCTGCGCGCTTAAGCTCAAAATTTAAGCACCCTTGGAGTTGCTTTTACATTTAAGCCAAAAATGGCTTAAATTAAGCCATAATCTATGCCTCATAAGTTATACCAAACACACCAATTCAGCTTAATTTAAGCCAAAAGCCGATTTACATTGAAAAAACGTTTTACCAAACACCTCCTATGAGCAAATCACAATAGCCTCCCGTAGTGCTTCGGTGGAGGCCTTTTCTGAGTCTGTTTTTGATAATCTGAACCGTTATATTGTAGAATTTATCGAGTATATTATTTATGCAAAAAAATTAAATTAATCAAAAATCTAGAATTCCATGATCAAATACTAATTATTTTTAAAAAATTATAAAGATGGAGTTAATCGTTTATTTAAAAAAAAAAATGTGCTTTTGTTACAGAATTATAGATATCCAATCAATTTGATTTTTTTTATAGATGATCTAATTAATAAATCTTACAATATGAATGGTTCAAATTAATAAAAAAGATTCAGAAAAAACCTTTACTGAAACACTATAGGAAATTACTATGAATTGCTCACAGCAACATCCCCAATTTTCATACAAAGCACCTCCCCACTTCAATTAGACAAATCTCAAAGTCCAGTGGCGTGTTCAAGCCATCCATAACAAGCATACAAATAACAAATCCATATATGGAATAGAGACAGGCCACTGCCTATACCAGTTTGACTGTCGTGAATGGTTTTGCTATCGACAATGACCCAAAGATCACTCACCAACCACCCATAGTTGGCATGTTACGTAACAGTCTGAAACGCAACTTGTTTTCTTTGTCCATGCAGAGTCTCTCTATACATATGACTAGCCAAGTACTACCCACCAAAAATGGTAAGTAGTATTGGAATAATCTTCTGTGTAAATAAAATAACTTAAAATAAATTCAAACAAAATAAATAAATAACATACCGGATTTATTTATCGAACCGAATAATAATAAAGACCAAGTCGAGTGTGTGACACTCTGTCCTTAAGACAGATTCGCCCCGCTACGGTA